CAAGGGAAGAAAGCATTTCAAGGAGGACAGGGTAATCAGCAATGTTGAATGTGGTCCAGAGCTTGCATAAGATGATACTGAGCTCGATGAATGGAGCCAAGTGAAGTTGTTCATGACCTTCACAATGGGCTGGGGAAAAGAAAGCCTAGAATAGGTTCAGTGGGAAGGAAACTGTGGGAAAAGAAAAAGAAATGGAGAATTTTCTGGGAAGTAGGAAGAAAATCAAGGTCACAAGACTAAATTTTTGCAATCAGAGAATTAATACAATGTGTGTGCTGATAGAAAAAAACTCAGTGGAGAAATTCTTACAGTGCGAACACTGATCCATCATGACAGGAGAGAACACAAAGTGTAAAGATGGTGCGTGAAGGTGAGTGAGCGTGGTGTTGGGAGTCTGCAGCGTGGCTCTTTATTTTCTTTCCTTAGAGAAGATCACTGGAAAAGCTCAAGGGGGAGAAAAGAGATCTTAGAAAGAGAGAGAATGTGAAGTTATCCTCCAAGAGCATGGGGCAACAAAAGCATTGGGGAACTATGGTGTGATTACAGAGGAGTACGTGTTTACTCACTGTGTAGTTCAGGCTGCCCTCGAATTCACGATGCTGCCTGTGATGGCCACGAACTTCCATGGATTCTCCCACCTCAGCTTCCCAAGTGCTAGAATTATAGGCACATGCAACCACAATCAGCTGAAGAATAGTATTTAGAGCTCACACTTGGCATTATGCTATGTTTGGCATGTATTTACATCAGGTGTTTTTTAAAAGATGCATGTATTTATACCAAAGCATGCACAAAACTGTAACTCAGTCTTATATGCAGGAGTCATTAGACAGTAAGAACAGTATAAGTAATTTATTGGGTTTTATTTTTATGATTGCCTAATAAAACACTTCAACAGATTAATTAATAAATAAGAGTATTTTCTGAGCATGGAAAAATTTTACAAATGGGCTGTAATGGTTAATGTATAGATGTACCTGCCTTGGAATAGTAATGTTCACATCATAAAGTCTACACAGGCATTAACACAGAAAAATACTAAGAACTCTTCTATTTTAGTCAATTCAGTGCTAAACTATTTTCTTAAAGACAATAATTTGACTATCAGGTCACTTTTGACTTTAACCCTGTATCTAAAGGAGGCACACTTCTGTTTGTATTTTATTGTGTGGTTAATGAAAAGCTCCTTATCAATTTGATACTTATTTTGTTTTGCTTCAGCCAGAATGGCTCTCATGTTGCCTGAACAGTTGAATTAGATTATAACTGACCTGCTGATGGCTGCTCCTCTTCTCAAAAGGATAACTGAACTCAAACTTGATTGCCTGATTACATGTGTTAATGGAGGGAATCGATCTTGGGAAGATGGGATTTATCTTGAATTTATAATGCATTCCCCATTGTACATTAAAGTATTTCCCATTTGTTAGTTCAAAACAAGTTGATTCAAATGAGGTAGGAATGTGGCAACTGAAAAGCTCTCCCTGCTGGTGCCTAATACAACTCTGCATGTTTTTCAGCTTTACGTGGACCCACAAGGGAACGATTGGTGACAAATGTTATGGAAAGCTTAAATGCAGTTCACTCTCATTTGCTATTTTGTATATCTTCTTACATATAGACTAAAAAGAATTGGACCCTTTGTCCAAAATGCTGTTATCCCAGCCTCTTTAATAAAATTGTGTGTATTTTTAAATAAAATATAAACATGATTCATAGGAATACCAAAGCATTTTGCACAAAACTAATATAAGAGTAATGATAAAAAAAATATCTTCTTCAGTGTTTGTTTTGTAAAGTCCTTTGACTACAAAGACAATTTCTGTTCTGCCATCCTAGGAGGCATTATCCACACCAGCCTTTTGAGTGTGTATGGGAAGAAGAGAGGGAGATGTTTTACTTGATAAAAACATCCGTGCTCAGCTTTGTTCTGTTATACTAATCTGTAATCCACAAACTGTCATTATCTCCAGAAGAGTTCATTTTTATATGGATTTTGATTGAGGTTCATAAATATTCAAAAAAATAATAGGAGTACTAAAGAGGAACCAGTGAATTAAAACAAAAAACAATGTATAGGTGATCATGTTCCAATATAGCACCATGTAATTATAATGATTCACAAGTATTTAGAATACACATTTGACTACCATGATATTCTTTACATTAATATTTTAAAATTTAAAAAAATTTGTTGTAAGAAATGGTTCTTAACACTGTTCTCCTTCAATTGCCTCATCCTTCCAGCCCCAGAGAATCATATTCTATCTTCCCAGAAATGTCTGGTTTTTTTTTTAAAGGCTACCTTATTAATGAGATAAATAAAAATCTGGAAAAAATAAATTTAGCAAAACAATAAGTAAACATCAGCTTACCATAGTGCTAAATTGATTTTCCTAAAAAGTATTTTTAATCTGTTTAGAAGATACATTTATGTATGGAATTGGTACATTTTCCTCTTTTATATAAATAACTATGGATACACACACACACACACACACACTTTCTGTAAAGATAAAAGATGGTGTTTCCAAAGGATATTTCAAATGTCTAGCACCCAATAGTGGATTTAATTGAAAACATATACTGATTCTTAATTATTTTATTATTAATTTACTGTGAACTCAGAGCAATCCATCATGATGTGTTTTTCTGAGACAGCACTATGTGACTGGACTCAGATCTGCTACGGGTATAGCTTTAGGGTCTTTGTGCCATCCTACCCCTGGGAATCTCTGTGAAGGGCCTTCTCCTCCTGCTCCTGCTTCCTAGCTGAACTCTTAATTACTTCCTCCTCCTGCCGGTGCATTCTCAGAGACTGCCCAGATTCAACTCAATGCGTCTTACTTAGCACAGTGGCTAAGTGTGCCACTCACACTTGGATTATATAAATACTGGCCTTTGCTTTCTGTGTAATTGTTTTGAATTAGCAGCATTTTTTAATCTCATAAAAAGCTCTTACCTTCATTTTCTACCTATTGTGAATCTGTAAAAAAAAAAAAAAAAAAAGGTTTGCTAGCTAAAGGAAACATATTATTATGTGCATGAGAGTGTTTTAGCTACCAAAAGTAACAAATTGTTTTCATTAGCATAAAAGCATTCGTTGTACAGAGAGTAGCAATTTAAAGAATCTTTCCTCTGTTTTAGTCAGTTCCCAGAAGTCTTCTATATGATGGTTTATTGGGTTAGTTATGATACAATAGGAAACAAATGAAATGGTTTATAGTAATATTATCTAATTTGAACCATTAAAAATCTTGAGTGTTCCCTTTCTAATCAGGCACAATAAAATTTAGTACTATTTTGTGGTTTAAAGTTACAGGCATTTTTTAATTTTCATATACAACATTTAAGAGAAAGGAAGTTAAGCCTTTCTGAAAATAGATTGAGGAAGAATCATTAAGAACACAAATATGCTGTAATTTTTGACTTGGTATTTTGCATTTTCTCATTTTCTTGCATTCTTTCCCAGAAGTCAAAGTGTGTAGGCATAGAAATAGCTGTAAAAAGGCCATAAAGAATAGAGTTGACATAATGCAGATAATGTATAGTTTCACTTGACTCTGAGAGGGAAAAAAAAATCTCTTAAAATAGATTTTCAGCTGAATAAATTTAGCCCTAAAATTGTTCACATGTGAATAGAGACTTGACTTTTGAATTAGAACCACAAGAAAAATAGAAAAAAAAAAAATAAAAGAGATTTAAGTCATGTTTGGTCCGGACTTTACAGAGATTAAATTAAAATCTAAGGAACACGCACAAGCAGAGAGAAATTCTTGATTTTTAACTAGTGAGGTATCTGTTCTCTGCTAACGTAGGTGACTGTTATTTTGAAGTGGCTGCTTCCTACTTCTGAGGATCAATACGTCTTTCTCCTCGGAAGATCATTTAGATGAGAGGATTTTATCTGGTGTTAGGAGTGTGTGTGGAGGCTGCTGTGTAAATTAAAGTAGTGAGCTGCTAGTTGATGTGTTGAGAGCTTGCTGGTGGCATCCATGATGAAGTCCATTTCTCAGTTAATTCTCCCAGTCAACTACCTATATTCCAGTTGAGTTTTACTCCTGCCAGCTCATGCTGTTGCATATCTACTTTATTTCCCATATTTTTATATAACACTCACAAGTTTTTTCAAAAGGAAAGTTGCAGACTTCTAAACAAAAGAAAAAGAACTGGAAAATAAAGAGAAAAATTGCATTGAACAATTATAATTACCTGTTTAGTCTAAATCTTTTTTTTTACACTTCTCAATTTATTTCCCAAAACCCAAAACATTTCTGTCTTTTCTAAACATTTGTAAACTGTTTGGAGGATGCTTTTCATCAGCTGGTCACCTATGTCACCCTTATGAACAAATTAAGGAATGATTTTGATTGGAAAGAACATTTTCTCATAATTTATGAAAATAGCATAGTTTTTCTTGGTGTTTAATTAGATGAGAATCTTTAGAATGCTAACATCAGGACAGAAAAACACAAGGTCCGTTAATAGAAATGGTTGATACAGTAAGTGTGACATACGTGTGATAGAACGGAAGCCACTATTAAGTTCTTTAGGGCTTTTGTTATTTGAAGCAAGTAGGTGCCTAGCTTTTCAAGTTATAAATGTTCAGGAGATACTTAAAATGTCATTTTGCAGAGGATAGTATTTAGACTGAGGATGTTTTCTTATATTTAGACCATTTCTGTAGCATTCATCCTCCCGTGCTGGAAGGACCCAGATTTTCAGTTTCTATAGAACCTCCAACCATCTGATCAGTGTCATAAACTATTAGTAGCCAACAGAAAAAAAAAAAGTAGTTTTATGACTGAGCCACATTTTAAATCTGTGCTAAATATAGAAAATATAGAAATATACAAAATGTGTATAGAAAGAATATAGAAATGCAGATTTATGCATTTTAAGTGTGTAGAAGTATAGAAAATGTATAGAAATAAATGTAGAAAATGCATATTCATGGTGTGTCATGAATTTGATTTGATTTTTCCTATTTTTTTAAACAGAGTTGTTTTGGAATTCTGCCTCCTTCAATACTGAGGCTTCTTACCTTCACTTTCCGACCTTCCATGGAGAACTTAGCGCGGATGTGTCTTTCTTTTTTAAGACAACAGCTTTATCTGGGGTGTTTTTAGAGAACTTGGGAATTACTGATTTTATACGGATAGAGCTACGCTGTAAGTCTCCTTTCCAGAGAAGTTTGGGAGGGGGTAATTGTCTATTATTTAGTAGTAAATTCTTTAATCAATGTTTAAAACTCATGTTTCTGCATTATCAGCTAAATCTTCACAGTGTGTCCCTTTGAAAATGTTGTATCATATCACTTCACCATTTTTTAAGAAAATAATTTGACACAGTCTATGATATTTTGGGACAATTATTTCTGTTTTCTACTGGCAATTTAAAGTGAGTTTAAATTGAAATAACACTGAAAAATTCTTGGTAATTAAAAATTAATTTGATAGATTCATGGGCTGCTACTGATACCTTGATATCAAGGGCATATTATAAATATCAAGAACATATTGCATGCATTTGAATTGTGTAAACTTTTCCAGATACAGTAGCATATGCCTGTAATCTCAGAACTCAGGAGGCTGAAACAGGAGCATAGACGTGAATTTGAGGTCAGCCAGGCCACACAGTGAGCTCAAGGCCAGCTTGACGTCTTGTGTTAAAACAAAACACACATATCTTTATTTATATGTCGGTCCATCTATTTGTCTTGAATTTTGATTCATTGCAACAGTTATTTTATACCAAATGCAGATTCTATTTAGTTTTCAGTGCCTGGCAAATAACTTGATCCTTTACCAATCTGAAAAATTAAATCAGAGGGGGCTGGGGATTTAGCTCAGCGGCATAAGCTCCTGCCTTGTAAGCAGGCAGTCGTGAGTTCAATCCCTGGTACCGATAAAAAAAACGAAAAAGACAAAAAAAATTAAATCAGAGGATGAATTTCTCAAAATCTAAATGACCTATTTCTATATGGATGTTACTGTCTCCTTGAATATAAAGTACACCTTTGTCTCTACATTCAATGACTGTTATGCAGTGGTGCCATTCCTAAGTGTATAGGCTGCTCACTGCTGTGAAAACTCACTCAGATTATCCGCGTGTCTTATTTTTCCAGCTCCAACAACAGTGACCTTTTCCTTTGATGTGGGGAATGGGCCTTTCGAAATCTCTGTGCAGTCGTCCAGCCAATTCAATGACAACCAGTGGCATCACGTTAGGGTTGAAAGGAACATGAAGGAGGCCTCCATTCAAGTCGACCAGCTGTCTCCAAAGATCCAGGCTGCTCCAGCTGATGGCCATGTCCTTCTACAGCTCAACAGTCAGCTCTTTGTGGGTGAGTTCTCTTCGTAAGTCATTTGACTGTGGTAGGCAAGTGCAGAAACAGGCTAGAATAAAATAAAACCAACTACAAAAATGGTGACAGTAGCAATGACAGGAAGCAGTAACAAAGCATCATTTTTTTTCAACAACACATTTGCATAAGGTTTTATTGAGTATTGAGACAAAAACATCATTGATTAGAAATCAGCGTTCCAGGCTGGCCAGGTATTTACTTCATCCTCATCATCAACCTGTACAATAAGGATTATCCTCAATTTACAGGTGGGGTAACTGAGGCTCAGAGGTTAGCTTACCTTGAGAAAAATCTTTCCAGAAAATGAGATTCAAATTTGTGTGTGGAAAATTCCTGAACCTGTATACTGCATGCTTAGTATTACAGAATACGCACTGCTTGTTTTATTAGTGTTTCTGGTTTGATATGGGAAATGTTTATCTCTGTTCCCAGGACTGAGTAATACTGCTGGTAATTCCAGGCAATGCCAACCAGGGATGCCCTCATGTTTTCCACCAAGAGGATGCTGTCTTTGTGTGCTATTTTGTCCTCAGCATCAAACACAGGCCACGACAGGGGATGGGGGAGCTAAGTGTTGAATGTATGACCTGACCAGTTTTACCAATTCCTCCACTAGTTCCTCTCATTTTTTTCTGTTTTTCTTCTATTTTCCCATTATCTACTTCATATGGATTCTTTTTATTTCCAGAATCCATTCACTTGACATTCATGGGCTTGCTAGTGGAATTTCTCTGAATGTGTTTGTTTTCTCTTGCATCTTTGCCAATTATTTTAGAGAATTTATAAACCATAATGTTCAAGGAGTTATGCCTTATTTGATCACTGCTCATATATTTCAATTTAAATAAAGGCATGGAAATTCGAAGGGAAATTTATGAGGATAAATTATGAATTTTCAGAAATCATATTTCAAACATTTTCAAGTGTTTACACAGAATTACATTCTGATGCCTAATAATCTCTTATTAGCCCTCTCAAATCACTGCAAAGGACAAATCTTGTTTGTATGTGCAAGAATCCAAGACATTCTTAGGACTTCTAATGAATACTCATTAGAGTACTCTATACTCATTACTACTTCTCCTAAGATACTTAATGAATGGTTTCTCTGACTGAGGCACTACCCTTACTTTCTAATCATGATACTGTGACCACTCAGTGACTTATCTGAGGATATAGAAATAATAAAGAATACTTAGGAAGGAATATATAACTTTTCTCTTAATGTCGTGCTAGAAGCTTGGTTGGGAAATTGACATAGATATTTCTTGCATTCCAAAAAATGAGAGATGAACACAACAAAAGCTACAGCAATTTAAAATCTGTCAGTAGCTTGGAAATAGCCTTACTATTCTTGGAAATTGAGAGGACTGAAACTGTCCTCGAATTTTTCAGTGAAATATGCTGCAGTTTGCCTGTAGATGACCTTTTATCCTTGATATGAATTTCAGCTTCCTAGAGATGAAGTCACCGTATATTGTGTCTGATAGGAATCCTGGCCTTAAGTTGATTTCAGGTGGCTATAATGAAGTACCAGGATGACATCAGAAAACTGCTTTAGAATAGGCCTGCGTCTTTTGCCATCAATCATGCACTATAATTTGAACAAGGATCAAAGAGGTTTCATCTTTATTGAGGCAATTAGTCAGGCCTCTGACATCTCCATATGTGTTCAACGGCTTTAAGAGTGACTGTGTCACTTGAAAGTTTTAAAAACCAAAATCTTGATTATGTTTAAGTCAAAATCAGAGAAAATTAAAAGGAAAAGACAGAAAAAAGATCTCTAATAAAAAGTGACACTTCTATTAACAGAGATCCGTGTGTTGTTTCTTCCTTCCTCATGATGCTGTGTAGTGATACCAAGAGAAGGTGTCACAAAATAAAAGACTTCAAATTGGGTAGAACAGCTCATAGCTATGAAAAGGCCACCTAGGAGGCTCCTTTTCATCCTTATCTACCACAAACTGTATTACTGTCTCTGGCAAGGGCCTCACACTGATGAAACAGTGCTTATAAGAAAAAACATTAAATATCAACTTACAGCATTACTAGAAAACAAATCAGAACCATATTTTCTTAAATTTGTAAAGAGATTTTTTTTTCCTACAGGCAGGCCCCATGAAAGACAAGTTATAATGTAAAAGGTTACAGTGAATTAGAGCACAGTGGGTGAGAAACTACTAAAAACTAAGCAATAATTAGAGCTAATTTAATGGACCACTTACTATGACCAAAAAATTCTCTGCCTTCCTCGGAGTCAAAGACTTAAGAGACAGCTAGTATTGACAAGTGATACAAGAAAATTGTGCATCTATGTATATACATATATATAAATATATGTGTATATACACATAAATATGTATGTACATGTATCTGCACACACACACACACACACACACACACACACACACACACACACACGGATAATAATGGAAGTTATAGAGTAAAAAATAGAGTGAGAAGTCCTGAGATAATTTGACCTGGGAGCTTCCAGTCTGAATAGAGTGGCTTGGAATATGCAGTCTCGAGGACCTTGCTAGTTGAGCAGAGGCCAAAAGAAGCAGATGAGAGAACCCTGCGATCTACCAAAGAAAAGAATTCCAGGCGTTGGGATTATGCCCAAAGTGTTGGGAATGAGTTTTAGGTTTTCATGGAACAAGATGATAACAAGTGCAGCTGTAGATAATGAATGTAAGAGGAAGCATGGCGGAAAGGTGGTCCGGTTATTATATCAATCAGTGTTCCCATCGCTGGGACAAAATACTAGACACTCAAAGGAAAATGGGTTTGATGTGGCTTGTGGTGTCGGGGTTTCGGGAGGTGGTTGGCTGGCTCCAAAGCAGAAGTGACATATGACACAGCAGAAGAGTGTGGCAATCAGGAAAGAGGGGAGGGGGAAGAGACAGAGTGGGAGATGTGTCACTTCAGGCCGTGTCCCGGTAACCTGCATCTCCCAGCCAGGTTCCACCTCCTAAGCACACATTTAGCTGTGAACTTGCCTGTGCCCAATCTATGAATGAGTATAGTGGTCCAATGACTCAATTATTTCCAAAATCCCTTCCTCAGAATACATGGGACTTCTATGGGATGTTTTTAAAAATCAAAACTATACAAGTCACATTCGGGGCCTTAGAAGGCCAGAATAGAGGATTTGGATTCTATGCTAGGTATCAGGAAAGTGGTATAAGGTGATTTGCAATTTTAAAGCTTTGTCTCACTGCAGTAAAGGACACGGATGAAAGGATTGAAGTGAGCATTGTTCCCATAGCTCCTGCAGGAGAGGTCAGTGATGTGATGTAATTAGAGATGCTGAAATAGACTAGGGCATCGTTTACATGGAGATGTGCACAGTTGCTGATAGATTTTCAGTAACATATGCAATCAGTTATTGCTTGGGGCAAGATGCTTCTTCTTAGGTTTCTGGACTCCTCACCCTATTGCCAGTTCTTAATTCCATCTGGTGCTAACTTTTCTGGTCTGTGCCCTTTGTCTTAATTTATACCAATGATTACAGCTGTTCCTTGGCCCTGCAACCCAGGATGGAGAGCATCAGCCACGTGCTCACCAGGCTGTAGAGGCCTCAGGTCCTTCTTTATGGCCCAGAGAAAATGTCCCACCCCCTCCTACTCCTTCAGTGGTTTCCCCTGCTCCATCCCTGGGTTCTCACCATCATCAGGAATCTTCTGTTTCTGTCTGTGCCCACCAGTGTCACACATCAAGGACCTTCATCTTCAACCTGTTTCTTCCCGTGCTAATAAATATGTGAGACTAAAGTCTTATTTTGCTGCCAGAGCTGGTGACGGGGTATCTGTGCTTTAATATGATGGAATTGATTTTCAAAGTATAAAGGGTAACTTAATTCTCCCTTACTTATAAGTTCAAGAATTTAATGTGTCATTCATCTGTCCATCTTAAAAATAATCATGACTGGGGCTGGGGATTTAGCTCAGCGGCATAAGTACCTGCCTTGCAAGCAGGCAGTCGTGAGTTCGATCCCTGGTACCGATAAAAATGAAAAAGACAAAAAAAATTAAAAATAATCATGACTAATCTGTATTTTCAAGTGTGAATAATGACTGTCCTTCATATTTGGGGAGAGGTGCAAATGAGTGAAATAAAGTGATTATGAAAACTAGGTTTATAGTTTCCAATATAACTTTATTCTAATACAAATGTTTTAAATCTAGAGACTGGTGATAGTAATAAGGTTAATGTTCTAAATGACATAGAAACACAATCATTGTCAACATAGGGGAAAACTACAAGACTGTTAGAATAAGACAAACTGGGTTCTGCCCAAGAATTTTGGTGAAAAACTGAACTTTCTTTGTAGTTCAGAAACTTATTCTTTAATAGTTTAAATAAATAATAGAGCTGTTTTATAATACCAAAAATATTACGTTTGAAATTTCAGTAACATATGCAAGTATATTTAAGATACTACTTTGAATACTTACATTTACAAAAAAATGTTGTAGACATGTGAATAGAGGTTAGTTTTGTTTTTATATTCACCTTGTCACTGAGAGGGTCTATGTTGATAATACTTATTAACAGTTTATTTTTAAACACATTTCATTTTGATAATGTCTCAGAAATGGCTCCCTCTATTGGGTAACAGGAAAGAATTCAATGCTTTTTCCCCTTTTCACTGAATACCAGTCATGCAGTGTGTTCACATCTCAGAGTAAAACTCTGAAGCAAGATTAATGCCTTACTTTCTGAGGAAAACCAGTAAAATAAATACAGTTACTTTTAAAAATGTGATTCAGCAGGGTAGCAGTTATATATGACAGTGGAAATAGGAATAAGGAGATGATAAATAGAGTTTCAGAGATAAAACTAAGGTTAGCTTAGATCTGAGAAATAGGAAACAGAAGGCTTTTTAACAATCCCCGTATTTCTGAATATTAGCACAATCATCCTCAAGTAATCTAAACAGTGAAGGAGGAGTAACAAAGAACAAAGCCTTGATAGGG